CACCCATCAATGTTGCCTATTATCCGACCATTACATCTTTGCCAACATCATTTGGTTGTGCATTTTCTTAATTATGAATGAAGTTGAGTACATTTTCACATGTTTATTGATTATATTCTTAGCTTACTTTTCTATTGGGTAGTGTGTCTTTTTCCTTGACAGGTAGAAAAACGTTAAAAAAGGAGAAAATTAGCCCTTCATCTGCTCTTACCAGTTTGTTATTTTTTTTTTTTTGCCATATGTAAGTTTTAAATTTTTATATAGTCAAATGACCAATCTTTTTCTTTATGGTTTCTGGGTAGGCTGGATAAAAAATAGAATTAGATTCAGACCTATAAATAGGTACCCATGAAAAATGTAAAAACAACCCTGGCCAAAATTATCCTCAAGTTCTGACATTTAAAACAAACACTCCAGAAAACGTTTACACGTGTTACAGGACACGGAGTCCTGGACACCTGCCCAAAGCTTCTACAGATCCATTTATGGTCTTGGTCTGGTGCTGGCTGTGCTCATGTGCCGACGGAATGGGCTATGAAGAGCTTTTCGGGTCAAGGCAAACACTACAATGGAAAATGAGGACAAGGCGCTGTGCGGGGTTATCACAGCCATGCTGAGGTTTTGGTGGCCCTCCTCAATCCCGGTAACCCAAATCCCATCACTACAGGGAGAATACAAAGTGCTTATTTCACTTCCTATCTGGGGAGAGTACTCGTGGTCTACCACCAAGGGCATGCTGAAACAGTCCGAACATCTGAAAGGAGGTATGTGTGCGTTTACCCTATCACAGGTGGCCACATGTGGAAGGATGAAAAGGTGATACAGTGGAAAGATCCACGCTTAAATTCCGGATCCTCCATTTCCTAGCCTTGTAACTTTGGCTAACTTGGTTAACCTGTATAATTTATACATGTGACTAACTTTTGGCAAGTTAGAATACAATTCAGAACAAATCACAGTCTCTTTTACATTTATAAGCCTAATTTGCCAAGGATTTTCCAAACAGGTCTTCTTTCTATGTGACAAAAGCTATATTGGTCATGTTTCTATGTGAAACAGCTCTCAACACAACATTGCATAATTATTGAGAGCTCTTTGGCACCTAAAATTTACTTACAGAAGAATAGATACTAAGTAAACAAAAGCCCTCAAAGTTAATATCACAGTGAGGCTTAGGCCCGAAAGGATGCTAAGAGATTCTTTAAAAGGCTGAATGAAATGTACACAAGAGAATATTCTCAAAATGGCAGACAGGAAACTAGAGGATATTTGTAGAATCTGTAGCAATGGCAACCAAAATATTCAGTATGCCATATAGTTGAATCCATATCTGTAATTTACACATCTGCTTTGAAAATGGCTTCATATTTTGCAAGCCAGATGTTGTAGAGTTTCTGTAATGTATAATACTTTGGTAGTATGTTTTGCACACTAAAATATTTTCCAGCATCAAAATTATAAATGGGTTAAGACAAAAACAGCTGACCTCACGTGGACGACTAAAATAAGTTTCTTTGATGTGGGATACCATGCAGATAGGGCAACTATAACTATTAAGTCCTTCAGGTCAAAGCAAAGAATACACATTAAGTCTTTCGAGTCAAAGCAAAGAATACACATAACTGGAGATGAAAAGAGTATGACCATCCTCAAAAAATTAAAAATAGAAGTACCATATGATTCAGCAACTCCACTTGTGGGTATATACCCAAAAGAATGGAAAGCAGGGTCTTGAAGAGATATTTGTATGCCCACATTCATAGTGGCGTTATTCACAATAGTCCAAAGGTAGAAGCAACCCAAGTGTTCATTTAGTGGATGAATGGATAAACAAAATGTGATATACAATGTCATATTATTTAGCCTTAAAAAGAAAGGAAATTCTGATACATGCTACAACATGGAAGAACGTTGAGGACTTTATACTAAGTGAAATAAGCCAGTCATAAAAAGACAAATCCTGTGTGATACCAACTAGGCGGTATCTACAGGAGTCAAATTCAAGTGGCAGGAAGGAGAATGGTGGTTGCCATGGGCTGGGGGAAGGGAAAATAGGTAATTATTGTTTAACAGACACTGTTTTGGTTTGAGATGATAAAAAACTCAGGACATGGATAATGGCAAAGGTTGTACAATGATATGAATGTACTTAATGCCACTGAATTGTATACTTAAAAATGGTTAAGGTAGTACATTTTATGTTATTTATATTTTACCACAATATTTTTTAAAAACTTAAAAAAGAAAAGACGGAGCTGTACCTAATTTCTCAGTTTGCTTGGGCTGCTATAACATAATACCATAGTCTGGGTGGCTTATAAACAACAGAAATTTATTTTCACAGTTCCAGAGGCTGAGAACTCCAAGATGAAGGCACTGGAAGATGCAGTGTCTGGTGAGGGCCTGCTTCCCAGTTCATAGATGGTGCCTTCTGTCTTCACATGGTGGAAAGGACTATGCAATTCTCTGGGGCCACCTTTACAATCACTAATCCCATTCATGAAGGCAGAGTTGTCACGGCCCAATCACTTCCCCAAAGCCCCACGTCCTAACACCATCACTGTGGAGATGGGGTTTCAACCCATAAATGTTGTGGGAGCACTAATATCCAGCCCATAGCACCCACACAGTGAGGTTCCCTGAGGAAACAGGTGACATACTTAAGAGGAATCAGGTCTACTTGCAAAGTGGGTGCAGAGGGCAAAATGTGCTTGGAAGAGGTGCAGTGAGTTCAGGAAACTTCCCTCCACAGCCACAGCCCGCATGAGACCACCTTGAAGGGAGAGACCCCAACCTCACTTTTCTACTTCACGCTGATCTCCTCCCACTGGTCACACCCACCTGGAAGCCAGGGAGCAGTGGCTGATGGAGTCCCCTGAGCAGACAGTAGGGTGGGAAAGAGTGGCTGTGAAGAGCAAGGAGATTCAGCAAAATGTATGCATGCCAGCATAAAGAGGAGGCCAGAACATACAGCTGAATGAAAAACAGCAAGCTGTGGAACAGGAGGTCCAGTATGATGTGATTCACGGTTAGGAGGAGGGGGAAATACCAGCATGAAGGCTATTTTCTACCAGCAAACTCAGAATAGAGTCTAAAAGGGATATATACCAAACTGACAGGAGTGTTAACTTCTGGGGCAAAGATGAGACAAAGAAGGAACTTTAGACTAATCTGTAGTGTTTCAAATTCTTCCGCGAGGAATGTGTTTGTGGGCTTCGTGGAGAGTTCAATATTAATTTAAAAAGAGTAAGTAAAATCATTAATTGTTTCTATAAAATGGAGATACCTCCAGCTTTTGCAAAATCGGGTTAGGCAGCCCATGTCCAGGCATGTCCTGGAAGCCCTAAGTGAGTAAAGAGTCGTAACAGAAAAAACATCAAGTAATGTCAAGCTCTGGCTATACCAGTGGTTCTCAAAGTGTGTTCCCCAGATCAGCAGCATCACATCACCCGGGAACGTGATAGGAAGGCAGATTATCATACCTGACCCCAGAACTACGGATTCAGAAACCCTGGGATTGTCTACCAGGGAGAGGGTCATATGTGAAGTGGTGGGACAGGAGTCTAAGGCCAAGCATTGCTAGACCTTATGGGCCAGAGCTGCCACAGACAGCAGTACAGGCTGTACAATGCTCCTACAACTGTAGGAGGTGTTCTTCACAGACTATGATGAGAATGGTGTTCCTTGGGGTGGCGCAGTGCAAAACCTGTATCCCATACCTGTCAGCCCTTAAAGCAGTGGGGAACACAGAAGAGTATTAAGCAGGCAGATGACATCATCAGGTTTGCATATGGAAAGACACCCCTGGCACTCTGCTTAGAGAAGAAAGAGGTAACAGAGAGCTACATCCAACTGCTTTGTCTCCTATATACCTTTGGGGCTGCTAATTAGCTAGGTCAAGAGCAAACTAGGCCGGGTGTGGTGGCTCACACCTGTAATACCAGCACTTTGGGAGGCTGAGGTGGGAGGACTGTTTGAGCCTAGGAGTTCAAGAGGAGCCTGGGCAACATGGTGAGGCCTTGTCTCTACCAAAAATGAAAAAACAGTTGGGTGTGGTGGCGTGCGCCTGTGTTCCCAGCAACTTGGGAGGCTGAGGCAGGAGGATGGCTTAAGCCCGGGAAGTTAAGGCTATAGTGAGCCAAGATTCCACCACTACATGTTCCCATCTGGCCAACAGAGCAAGACCCTGTGACAACAACAACAACAAAAAGAGTGAACTAAAAGTAAAAGACTCTTTGAATGGAATCCAAGTTGTCTTAACAGCCCAACCCTGAATCCAGGCCTCCAGATACTTGGGTCTTAATTAGCAGAGGGGTGGGAAAAGGAAAAAGGAGGACAATGAAAGACTCCCAAGTCCGACATTACATGCATGTCTGTACACACACAAGCACACACACAGAGAAAAAAATGAAGGCGGGGTGGGGGGAGCAGGGGCAAGCAGGTGTTGATGAGGAAGAGGTGAGCACCTTGGGCAGGTAGTTTGAGGAAGAAACCTGAAGCTGGGGGCAGGTCTGACTGGCAATACTGATTCAAAAGCCATCAGCACCCAGATGGTAATACAAGCAAGGATAAGATCATTCAAGGTGTGTGTAAACACTGGAAAATCAGTGGGCTGAGGCCAGAGCCCTAGAGAACCTCTATATTTAAGAACAGGAGCTAGCGAAGGAACGTGTTGCACATGGCTTGGAAGCTAGGCAGCTGGAAAAGGCCAGCAGGAATACAACCAAAGAACTCTTGGCATGGCAGAGCCCAGGATTTAATTCAAGTGAGACGTGTCAGCAAGAGAAAAAGGAGGAGACAAGCGCGGGGAAGTGCTGCCAATGTATGTTTTCCCTCAGGAGCACTGGGCTGCCAGTGGACTCTTTAAACGGGTCGGTGTGCGTGCCACTCTGTCAGCACCCCTCCTCTGCTCAGCCTGCAGAAAGACTTCATGCTATGGACATCTTTTCTGGGGCCAGTGCACAGCCCTCCAGTCCCCCATTAACTCTCATTTTGAGGAGCTGAGATCAGCTGAGGAAAGCTTCGCCAAGCTTCAGAGCATCAAAATGTGCATTTGGGAGGGGTAGGCAGGCAGATGGCGCCAGATTAAAAAGATGCTGGGCTCGCTCGCTGCTCTGAGGTCTCTGAATTGCCTCCAGCACGGCAGTGTGGAATCAGGAACTCCATCATATGACCTAAAAACTTGTGAGTCTCTCCAAAAAGACTTAGCTTGCTACAAGATACTGAAGGGGATTGAGATGCACTTCCAGAGGTCCTGAGATTCTAGAAGCCCAGCATCCACCAGATGCCTGCTGAAGCTGATGGCTGCTGCACACTCTGCTGTAAGTCTAAAGCATTTTGCATATTGCATTGTAATTGCTTTTTTTTTTTAACCTCTTCCACCCTACAACGCCTCTTCAAGTAGACTGCAGAACCTCTAGACAAAAATTTGTCTTGTCTCTGTATCTTTCCTGCCCAAATTGGGACTGTCACGCAGTAGCAGGCCCTCAGAAATGTTTGTTAAATACCTGTTGTCATGGGGAAGGACGATTTGTAGAAGCAGTGGTTGCATGCACCTCTCCCTCTCTGTTTTGTCGAAGTTCTAAGACTTCAGTGTAGTGAGCAGGGTTGACAAACTACAGCCTGTGAGCCAATCTGGCCCATGGGCTGTTTCTGTAAGGCTTATAGGGTTTTCAGTGGTTGAAATAATAATATTTTATGATGTGAAAATTATATGAAATTCAAATTTCACTGTTCATAAATCAAGTTTTATTGAAACACAGACACACCCATTCACTTTCATCTTGTCGACGGCTGCTTTCATGCCATGTCAGTAGTGTTGAGTAGTTCCGACAGAGATAGCATAACCCACAAAGTCTAAAATATTGACTCACTGGCCCTTTAAAGAAGTATGCTGGCCCCTGATCGACAGCAACACTAAATGTGGAGATATACAGGAGATATACATCCAAATATGATCTTCCTCACAAGTGGAATTCTTTTTAATTTAACTTTTAGACTTTCCAGTTACTGACATAAAAATGAGAGACATTTTAACTTACCTTGGGGGCATAAGCATCAAAACATGGTAGTGTTGTAAAGTGAGCAGGCTGTGCACTCCTCAGAAGGGTCTGCATTTATCACCATGCTATGACAATGTCTAACAAGTTACTTACGTTCTAGGCCTTAGTCTCCTTGGCAGTAAAAGGTGCACAATAGTAAGACTTCAGAAATTTGATGTGAGAATTAAATACACTGAGTTTTTAACCTCTTAACCTGGTATCTGACCTCCTGGGAGCACCTGATAAATGGAACTACAATAATTTTCCTCTTTGTTTTTGGAGGAATATTTCACTTTACAGAAGATTTGTTCTTGGCCTCCCAAAGTGCTGGGATTATAGCCATAAGCCACCATGCCTGGTCAAAAGGAAGAGATATTTGAAAGAGAGAAACAATTCTCATTATTTAGAGATGACATAATTTGGTCTTTAATAGTTGTACCTAACATGAATTACTTGTATCAGTCTGCAGTTTTTATGTTTTATGACAAAATTGGAATTACTACTCTAGGACACAGCTGTTAACTATTAATTCACTCAAACCTCGATGATGTGTGTATAAATGGAAAGTTATGACAGCACAGGATGTTCTAGCCAATGAAATATGACAAGAAAAAGACAATAAAAGGAGAGTTTTTTTGTTTGTTTGTTTTGTTTTTTTGAGATGGAGTCTTGCTCTGTCGCCCAGGCTGGAGTGCAGTGGCACAATCTTGGCTCACTGCAACCTCCACCTCCCTGGTTGAAGTGATTCTCCTGCCTTGGCCTCCTGAGTAGCTGGGACTATAGGCATGCACCACCACACCCAGCTATTTTTTGTACTTTTAGTAGAGATGGGATTTCACTATGTTGGCCGGGCTGGTCTAAAATTCCTGACCTCAGGTGATCCACTCACCTTGGGCTCCCAAAGTGCTGGAATTATAGGCATAAGCCACCATGCCGGGCCAAAAGGGAGAGATATTTGAAAGAGAGAAACAATTCTCGTTATTTAGAGATGACATAATGGACTACCTTAAGAAACTTTAGAATAAATTATAATACCATTTATTTAAATAGTCACAAATTACAATAGCTATGTATGTATGTACACATATTAATATATACACATACATACAAATACACACATTTATGCACATAAAATATCAAACAACAAAAGCATTGTATAGTGATTCTCTACAGGAAGAAAAAAACAATGTTTTACTGAGGGTCACAAGGAAAGTTATGAAAGACTATGAATTACAGCACTTCAAATAAGTGAAAAATATGACCACAAAAACAGAACAGTTGGTTAAAGGCCTGAAGAAAAATATGGTGGCACAACTACAGGGATGGAAGGGCTTCAGAAGACAAGCATCAACCTCAGTGTTACACAGCAGGAAAGCAGACAGCCCTCCCATTGCTCAGATGTCCTTGGCCACTGCTTTCTGGAAGCTGCATTCATTTAGGAATGAACAGATGCGACTGGCAGAAAGGAGGCAGAAGGCTTTTCAAAAAGCAGCAGGAAATGAACAAGTAGAGAACGCATTCACTGAGACCCTGGCAAAGGATCCAAAGAGTTCTGTAAAAGGAGTTCAGAGCCTGGGAGTCAATTTATTGGATTTGCAAAAATCAGTAATGGATAGTTTCAGTGAAATGAAATATTTCTTACAAGCAGATACCACAGGGCATGCTTACACTTCCCCAGGACCTCTCCCTTCACAAGGTCCTGTATTCTGGGTATTTGGGAAACATTTGGACTTTTACTATTTAATATAGAGCCCTGCGAAAAGGAAGCCATGGCAAGATACCATCATCCTTTTTAATAGTCAAGGCTGTAAATATATCAAAGAATTTTGGAGACTAGCAGACAATCTAGCTGCAAACTTAAAACAAGTTGAGGCTTAATTTACGTGAAGTAAAATACAAAACTCCTTTCTCCTAAAGATATTCATAGTAAGTCTTTAAAAAAGCTTAAAAACCACAGTGATGCATATTACCACCAGCCATCTGAAGGAAATCACAGGGAGATTTCAAGTTCCCTCTGAGTAACAAATTAGCCTCTCTGAACAGATCAAGTTCAAGTTCGGAAAAAAACAGCGACCTCTGAAAGCACAGGCTTTGACTGCTGTGGGCCACTCATCACAGGCTGCCTGTACTGCAAGCGGCATGGTCAGGTGTGCCCTTGGAGATCAGAAAGCCTTTTTATTAAAAATGAAAGAGAACTTGGTTTTCTCTTGCTGCTTTGATGTGAGATCAACAATTTCTAATAAAAGAGATTTTTTTTTTTTCCCTAGACAGGGCTACAGACCAGAAATCTATGTTTAAAAGGGCATGTTTTCATTGGCAAGCTCCAGTTTAATTAATTTCGATTTATAAAGGAGTAGCAAAGGTTAGTGACATTGTTACCCAGGCATGCAAATTAAAAGTGAACATAATCCTAGTTTAAATTTTGGGAAAATATTCAGTGTGTCTCAGGAGGTGAAACATACCACAGAAGCACATGAAAGATGGAAGATAATATATGAAAATCATAGATATGATAAATTATATATTATAAATATATTTATAATGAAATATATGTATTTATATAAATAAAATTATATATATAATCTATATAATTTTTAAAATATTGCCTCCTATGGCAGAGTCAAAAGGTATGGGTAGGTACTAGAAGAAAGGTTTTTCATAAAATCTTTTTTGGTGGTTTCCATGATGTGGCTCTGTTAAAAGCAAAGCAAATAAATTAACATTCATTAATTTTATGCATAGCATGTTTCAGCATTTATAATAACTGCTTTTTTGAGGGCTTCCTTGCTCATAGTTATAATTTTGTTAAGTCATATATATATATATGTGGAGGAATGCCATGTTTTATGAACACATGTCAGTTTCTAAGGAATCAAGCCCCATAAAAGACCACTGAGGAAATATTTGGAGGCAGAATTCAAAACTTCTCCTTCCTTCTGTTTTCCCACATTTGGGAGAAGGGAGAGGATTTGTGAAATGTGGCCACTTATAGGCATTCAAGAAAAGGCTGAATCTCTTTCATGTTCATAAATTTGAACATATGTAACAAAATAGAGAAGGCACTAAATCCAGAGAGGCAGCTGCAGAGTCCTCCTTCCAAATGATTGGGAATACGTTTTAAGCTCAAAGTATTCTGTACCAATAACCACGTGCACTCATGATGAGCAGCTACTCTATTTGAGCCCCTGGTATCCAGATTTTTCCCATTTCTAGGCTCACACATGGTGTTCCCCCTGCCAAGGCAAGGCATGTTGCTCCCTACTTTTTGCCTCCTGCATTTTCTGGGTCTCACCCCTTCAGCGAGGGCTTCCCGCATTCGCCAGTCTCACATGGTTTTTTTCCTTGCTTATTTCTCTCATCTCATCCTGTCCCTTTCCTTCATGGCACTTAGCTGTGCATTGTCTTTACGTTTGCTTCGCTTCTGTCCTTTCCCCACTGGATTGCGAGTTTCCTGAGGGCAGGGACCCTCTGTGTCAGTAGAGCCAGACATCAGGATGTCATGGTGAAAATACAGGCTTTAGAGGTAGACTGTCCGGTCCCAATCTCAGCTCTGCTGTGCACAGGCTATATGATCTCAGCAAGTTACTGAACCTCTCTGGGTGGTAGTTTCTTCATCTTAAGTGGATGTAGGGTTAATATTACCTACCTCATGTTTTTTCCATGCTTAAAATCAAAAGTGATGATGCAAGAAAAGCACTTAATATGCTCTCTGGTACATAATAAGCCCTTCGTCAAATGAGCACTATTATTATTCACCACTGTGTATCTAATGCCATCCACAGTCTCAATACTAAAAGATGCTGAATAAGTAGTCATTAAATCAATTTACTTATATATTCATAATTATATCAGACTATTCTCACACCAACCCATAAAGTATCCCCATATCCATTCCACAGATAAGGAACTAGAGAGCTGGAGACTTCTGTTTTCTAAGCCCCAGCCTCGCCAGCATAAACTCAGAACATTACCTCCATTACATCTCTCCTGTCAGGTTTTCACATCAACTTTGCATCCAGGAGCAGTCAGAAACAAACTACAATATATCTATGAAGAACAAATCTGTAGCCATGAAACAAAAGCTTATTCAATTATGAACTGAGGACATACAGACGGAGTGATGTGGAGAATGTGCATATTCTCCAGTCCTGTCCCATAAATTCTTTGAGTTTTAGTTCCCCCCACCCTCCCCCAGACAGTCTTGGTCTGTCGCACAGGCTGGAGTGCAGTGGCGTGATCTTGACTCACTGCAACCTCCACTGCCTGGGTTCAAGCAAGCT